AGATTGCACTAACACTGTATGAAAACGGCCAGTTGTGTGTTCATTCTGTCTATGCTTATTATTTTGTTCGGATCGTTGTGTTAATAAATGCACGTTAGATGTGGTAGCCGTTTTTCTCGCTTCGTCCTGTAGAAAGTCTGATAATATAAGCAAACGAGATTATTTCTTTCGGTAATTAGTGAATAACTGTAATCTGACCACTTTGATAACAAAAGCGCGGGCAGCTTCGCTAATACGATTGAGACTATATTCATACCTTGTAGGTATTCCTCGCGCTTCAGGGCCCTTATAGCTTCAATTAAATTTTGAACTTTCACTGAAAATTGTATTATTTCTCTTTGGTAATCATTAATTAATGGATGAAGTTTTTTAACATCTTGCACGATCTTGAAAATAATAACGTCCGGGTTTCCAAATCGCAACTCCAAAGTGGATATAATTTTATCAGGTGATGTCGCGCTGATTAACAACGCAGAAACTGCCTCTTTGGCGGCGCCCTTTAAGCACTTCCTGAGTCTCCATAGGTTTTCCTTAGGGCTAAATTTACATACATCTGTTGACTCATCATATGCTTCCTTAAATTGTAACCATTCCATCGGTTCGCCGGAGAAGTCTGGCAGGTCTCTCGGCGTACATATACGACTCAATAGGTTTCCAGTGGGTTCTTTGACGACTGAAGCAGCAGCCATGTCCTTTAATGCTGTGGCCAGTAAGTGCATGGTTTCGCCAACGTCGGTTCCCTTCTGAGTGGGTTGTGACATTTGTCCTTGAAGTGGCACCGTAGCATGCAGCTCATCCGGTTGGGTTTCCTGTTGGTGGATAAGCTTTTCTGATAGTTGACAGCTTTTCTCTAGCCATTGCTCAATGTCGCGATCGCGTGTGATTAGCTCATCATTATGCGGACTGTTTAATTCATCGTCGAGTTCTGCTATATCCGCTTCCAGTTGTCTATCTATAAGTTAAGTCATTTGAATTTTCGCCTTCTGTTTCGCTGCTTCTAACTGTAATTTCTTTTTCCTTGCCAGTACTGATGATGTTGAAGACATTTTCGAAATACTTTTCTGCGTAACGTGCCTGGTTGGCGGTTGTAACGGATTTTCTCGTTTTACACTTGTACCCGCCAATGAAGATGTTATTCCAGTGCACTCAATATCTTCACTTTTCATATCGATTTCGTTTTTTCTCATGATGGATTGAGTATTGTCTTCACTTATCTGAGTATTTTGAGGTATTTCTTTGTTTTCTAGGTCCTGTTGTTCGCGATCACGACGTATGGTACTGCGGGCATTTATCATTCTGGGTGGTGTAAAAAACATTAAATAACCGCTCGAAGACCAACTTGTAACTTGCAGGGCCCGCAGTACGGAGTGATGCTAAGAAATATACTCAAAATGCTTTATTACACTTTCCAGTGGTTATTACAGTATGAGCGAAATGTGAGACTTGTTGCTAGCGCGGATGGGTGCAGAACACTAACACGTGAAAGGAATTGTTTCTTATACATCTTTGCGATTTATTATTTCACTCCCCACTAACATTTATAACATTAACAAGGTGGAAGGAAATATATTAATGAGCGCGTCGCTTACATCCATCCATAGAGAAGATCTGAACTCCAGCAATAGGGACATTAATAGGCTTATGATGCAACTCGACAGGTTTGTTTTATTTAATTATAAAGTTCTTACAATTCCATCATCACATTGTGAAAATTATCTTGGATCAAGTTCCATGTCAAGAGAAATCAAATGAGCCCAAATTAGTTTGGGACTGCTTTGCTTCATCATAGAGGTTCCATGGTTACCTTACGGCTCCATCTTGTTTCCAATTGTCATCCAAGTTATATGTTTATGCAAATTTCAACTAAATCGAAAATTAGGATGAGGACCAAATTTCGTTTGCAAAATTAACAAAAGTTTGTAAAAAGATGGCAAATAGATTGCAGAATATTTTTTTTTATTTGAGCTTTATGAAGCTGTGGTCATAATGTAAATATAAATGAATGAATGAATATTCTTTATTGCACTATGAAACACATCAAAAAGCACATTAAACTAGATAAAGTAACACAAAAGGCGGCCTTATTGCTAAAGTAGCAATCTCTAGCAGGCGACCCGAGACTAAAGGAAACAATGCCAATTATGAAAATTAACTGAGGGTTAGTGTATTAGGAGAAACAACACATGAGAACATTTTTAAATGCAAATACATAGTCTAAAATAAATAAAACTTACGATGATAAAGAAGTAGAGTGCAAGTTCAAAAGGAATTGTCTGGCTTGAGGAAATTTTCTTTTATCAATTTAATAAATCAGTTCCTTGACTGCGCGCGTCGAATATCTATAGGCAGAGAGTTCCATAGTTTGATTGCCTTAACTGAAAATGACTTGGCTACGAAATCAGTATTGTGGGAAGGGGTAACCAAAGATAAATTATAGGAAGACCGTAGATCTCAGGTTGGAATTGTAGAGTGAAAGACGAACCGCTCCTTGATTTCCCTATAGTGGTCGCGATTGACGTCTGACGGGTTTTTTATATTTAGATTTGGGTTTTTTATATTTAGATTTGGCACGAACCTTATTATCAATTATCTTGCGTACCTCCTCCGTAAGCCAAGGCGCAGGTCGTACGGGAGCATAATTATCCATGAGTCGAATAAGTACTGAGTCAAATATCTCCACCTGTTCGTTAATGTTAAATCTATCAATTGCCGACCTATCGACTGTAAGAGCGTCTTCTCGGCGAAGGTCAATATCCTTTCCACAGAAGTTACGCAACAGTTGGATCGACGCTTTTCATTTAGGAGGACGTATTCGATAGGATAGATAAATCAAATCATGGCATGAAAAATGATCGGCTTTATATAAGGAGAAGGTTTGAAATTATTTTCCGCCATTAGAACACAACCAATGCTCAAATTCTGCAACTTGATTTGGAGACTATTGCCTTATGGTGCAGAAACAATAAAATGTCCTTGAATATCAACAAGTGTTTTGTATTGACATTTATTAAAAAGGTCAATGTCACAAGCTTCACTTACAACATTGATGGTCTTCCGCTAAGTCGTGTCGAACAAGCAAAAGATTTAGGCATAACCATTGACTCAGAAATGTCCTTCAAAGCACATAATAATAATATATATAACAAAGCAACTCGCCTTTTGGGGTACGTCTTGAGTTTAAGAATTTAGAAATCCTCGCAACGTCATTTATCCATTCAATTCTTTAGTTAGAAGTAACCTTGAATATGGAGCAGTCATTTGGTCAACCTTATATGACACTCTTTCTAAACTAATGGAGGGTCTACAAAAGAAGTTCCTGCGGTGAATATTCTATCGATAAGATCGATCTCGTAAAATAAGATCTCATAACGAGAGATTGTCTAGGTTTAATGTTGCGACCCTGGAGGATGGATGAAAGCAAAGTGATTTGATCCATTTGCATAAAATTGTTCATTCATACATTGAGTCACCATCTTCACTATCCTCCATAAATTTCAACATTTCCTACAGAACGCGTAATCCGAAAACATTTTCATTGGAAGTTTTTTAGTCCAATCGTCCGTATGTGCCGCCTTTACAATGTGATAAGTCAAACTAATCATGACATAGATATATTTGACGGTAATGGATATTCATTCTAAAAGAAAGTAATGTCACTATTTAATTCAACGATTATGTCATCATAATCAGCATTTACATATCTGTATCACACTGTTTTTCTATTTTACAAAGTTCAACATAAAATTAATATCATTAGTTTAAATGCTGCTCCACTTTAATCATGCTAGAGATACATATTATTGGGTATAATTGGATTTTGCAAGAGGAATATCAAGTTATGCTTTGTATTAATTATATCCCGTTTTGTATCTTAATAATCATCAAGCAAGACGATTTACTCACATTTCCATTACCCACAGGCAGCTATCTCAACATACAACTTTATTTAATTATATTTAGCACTACTACTATCTATTTAATAAAAGTATTAGTGAAGCAAGAATGAATAGTAAATAAAATTACGAAAGCAAAGCAGGCAAACTTAACCAAAGAAACAAACATGAAACTACAAACAAAAGCAGATAACTTTCAAATGAGACTGAGCGCAAAAAAATAATGTATACACTTTTATTTTATGGAATAGGGGCAGACGAGCAGACGGATCACCTGATGGTAAGTGATTACCGTCGCCGATGGACACCTGCATCACCAGAGGGGCTACAAGCGCGCTGCCGGCCTTTGAGGGACGAATGAAGGGAATAGGAAGGGGTAGAGGGGTAGAGGGAAGGGAATAGGGATGGGTTGGGCCTCCGGTACCCTCACTCACACGACGAAACACGTCGGTTTTCTGTGAGGCCTTGGTATCACACCAAAAACTATAAATCCAAAATCAAAAAAATAGCAGCGAAAACAATATGTATCAATTTGAATATGTTAAATCATCTATCATTTCACTTAACTATTAATTAATTTGACGTGGCAGTATGAGTCAGATTGCTTTGCTTCACTTAAACATCAACAATATTATACAGTCGGAGTTTGTCACAGGTGTTTGTAAATGTCAACAACAAAACAAAACTCAACAAATCGCCTGTTTCGATTTATTATTCTAGAGAAACAAAACAATTATTTCAATACCTTACTAATAAGTGCAAGCAATGAAAAACAAAATTACCTATAGTAGTTTAGCAATTCAGACCAAGCTGTGAAATCAAATACAATATTTATGCGCCCGCCCACTATCTCGTCCCACCAAAATCCCAATTAATTAAAATAAGCCACACTATTATACTGCAAAGTTCGGAATGAAAGCAAGTAAAATTACAATGGATACAGCTGTGACACATTAACTAGATTTCACTTACTTTCTTCTTGGAGGAACCACCATTATTTGACGCCTCGTAGTAATCTGTTTAGTACCTTGGGGAGGTGAAGCATATGAGCTTGTAGTGCCAGCTGGTAGATCGACAGAAGAGTTCAGAAGAATTAGCGTTCCTACATTATGCTAGTTGAGACGTAGCAATCCTGTACAGGTCAGCGCGACAAGTTATAGTGTATCGCTTAGCATCTGCGTATAAGACCATGATGCGACCTTCATGCGTCCAACAATTGTACACCCCAAACCTCTCGCAGCATTCTAAGAAAAGTTTGTAGCTGCGTTTCGTCAGGAACTCTGACACTGTTATACCAGACCCCTTCAATCGAATCTTAGCAGTACAAGCGTCATCACAATCTTGATGACTTTTGAATTTGATAAAAATTGGCCGTGGTCGGAGAGATGAAGTTGTTCCCATACGTTTTAACTCACTGAAATTCTCTAACTGAATATGGGGCAAAAGTTCTTGACGAACGATATCCACTGCTACTTTGGGAGAATCTTCGTTTTGGTTGCTCTGTGACACCATGCAAGAGGAGAATTTCCCTTCTATAACCTCCTCTCCATAGAATCATACTGCAATGCCAATATATCCACCTGCTTTTGTAGAGCAGCGAGGCCATGATCCAAGTACGAAATGTGCTGAAGACTGCAAACAAAGTTGTGACTGTTTCGACTCTTTTTATAGGTATTTTTTTCAGTTCATCTTCAAACAAGCTCATACGCAACTGACACATTTCCGCCAAAGCCTAGTACCTGTAATGTCCTCCATGATTAACCAAATTAGTGTTAGTGCCAGTTAATGACAAGCGATGAAACAGTTTTTTAAATGTTCCAGGAAAGTGATGTTATGATGACTACAGCAGGTAACTCATACCTTATTCTTACATTGTCTGGATAATATTTACAGATTATTATTAAATTACTATTTTTGTAATTAATTTTTAAACCACTTTAAAAACGTGTGTTTACTCTTCAAACTACCCACCGAATCTCCCAAACACCGAGAATAAATGTCAAAATCAAGAAGATTCGAGGCGGTATTTATAACAAAATAGTACTACAAGACTTATTATCATAGCTATGTTTGTCGTATAAAAGACGAAAAAGATTGTTGACCCATCCGATGATTGACCTTTGGAAAAGTTTCTTAGCCTGTATAATCGCAGTCCTTACGCGCTAACCACTACGATATCAAGCTTCTCTAATTAAAACTATAACTCGACTGTAATCGCCACCATTTAATAACACTTCAATAACAAACTTCTAAATCAGCGGACACCTAGTCGGACATAAATATAGGGAGGCTCAAGCTGCGTAAATTGACAGGGGACCAGGATTTGTGGCCGGCATCTTATGGCTAGTGGACCCCAATAATTCCTCGAGCCGAATTCACGAGTTTTCAAATAGCCGATTTAGCTATTGTATCTATCGATTTGCGAACGTTCAGCTGTTTTCAATCCTCCTGCCTCATTGATGAATACACCAATCTTTTCCCTTAGACCTAAAGCATAGCCCGACCTTTCTAAAGGTCGCTCCTTTGTTCAGAGTTCCTGATAATTGTTTCGATTTGACATACAGCGGATTCGAAACTATAACAAAGGAAATGTGCTAGATAAAAATGTGCATAGCTATCAGTTAATCTATGATCGGTCATCTTCCACGTAACAGATAAAATTTTATGGTACAGTCAACGAAGCATAAAGTCATTTCTTTTGATAAAATAATGAAACCCAGAAACAAAAAGGTACCATATCCTAGAATGAAATATTTTGTTTCAAAAGAGAATTCTCCATGATAGAATGCAAGTGCATTTTGCCGTTGTACTATCAACCTGAAGTTCAATATTATTATATATCTTTCACTATTGATGAATGAGGAAGATATTGGACTTTAGACAGATAGTGCTATGGTATAATAGAAGTAGTTGAGATGCGATTAGTATGTAAATAGCAGAATGGGCCTACTGGCCCGAATCATAGCAAGTGTTCTTTATGATAGTTTTTGTAATCATTAATGTGCTTTCTGTATAAAACCTGTTTGGTAGTTTTTGAGTTTATCACGATAAGACATACTTTATAATAGCTATTTAATATGTTAAATTATAACTTAAGTTTTAGGGGAATAATATGCAAAGTAATCAATTATTTTCTCTCTCATGTAACGGCATAGAAAACTATCCATAAAATAATCGTAGAAAGGTTTCAAATCTAAGAACATATTCTCTTACGTTGGTTACATAATAATATTTAATCTAAGTGAAACTAAAAACGCTACTTGAGAGGCACTCAAAACACGTGTCGGCGTTATTATCCAACAAAATGATATTGCGCGTAATGAAGGTATAACCTACCGGAAGACGGTACCAATTAACGGCGCTGCCTCCATTATCCGGAGACGCACGACGATAACCGGCCGTAACCGGCCCGGACGGCACACGGTTAATCCGGACAACGGCACGCGAAAGATGACATCCAGTCGCTAATTGGAGGACCGAATTAAGTACGTGAAATGGTTAAGACTATTATAAGACGAAGTATATAACTTAATCGAGTGCGCTAGTAAAATATATACCTAGTAGCTTTCCATCAGCTTTTTTGAATCCAGAATTTTCTTCCTTATAAACTTTCAACATTTTTTTTTCTACTCTTCAAAATAACTACTAATTTAAGATTATAGGTCCAACTTCTATAGTTTATTTTAAACAAAATCAGTCGGGGACAAGAAAGTTTAAAATATTATATTAGTTACAAAAAGTACTGTTATGGAACTTATTAGTGTTAAGTACTGCCTATATGTTATAGTCAACACTAGAAACTTACCTACTTTAGTCATGTGATGTGCTGTGAGTACGCCATAGAGTGATTGGTGGAGCAGATGGAGTTAGGTAACTGAGACCTACACCTAGAGCACTGCGTTGCGCTGGACCGATCGGATACATTGACAAAAGCATCTGTGAGCAACAATGTCCACCGAGCTTCAGTTTGAGATAAATGGAGAGCTACAGTACTGCGTGCCTCCATATACCATGTCCGATCACAATTGCTCTGACAAGAGTACAGTGAGTAAGAACTAGGAAACCAATTAGATTATGTTTCCATTTCAACCTTCCGTCAACTCAACCTTCAATCACTGATTTGTATATTAGAACTCTTATTCTATTTTTCTATTTTTTTATATTGATCTATTTTTCACAAAGTAAGCTGACTTGTGGTCAGCAAATATCTGACGGAAAATCCATCACCCGTTCTGTGATTCCATCGTTAGGTTATGTGATTAGGTCATAACTTAATATGTAACCAATCATTTATGTAGTATCCAAGGTTGTCCACCTTAATAAAGGTGGAAGATTATTATATGCCAGCACGTCGTGGAGTGGATGATATAAGTATACTGAACAATTTTTACTATGAGAGCAATATTAAATTCGCGAAAAAATAATCAGCTGTTTCATATTGTTGGTGATAGTAGGTATTACAAGTTTGTATAGAAAAGCAGATTATTTAAGAAAAGCGAATTCAGTGTTTATTCCATAGTAAAAGTTGTTCAGTACATTTCACTCATCTACCCTACGAAGTCCTGGCACATAATAATCTTGCAACTTATATTTGTCTGACACGACCACATGCCTACCTGTTAACATAGGGCTTCGGAGTCAGCTTAAAGTTATCATGTAGCGTCAGAAGAGTTCTAAACTATAAGCTTATGATGTATGTTCATTTCGATTTCAAGGTACCTAGTTGTTCTACTAAGCCAAACAACTCTCTAAAATTATAATTAACTTTAAAACGGCGGCCTAAAATTGTTCTATTTTGTTTATTTTTAATTTAACTATTAGAAATATGAAAAAAGTAAGTATAATTATTAATTTCACATCCTTAATTACATTTATAGATGTTCCCATACAATTGATATTGAATGACGATTGTTACCAACCTTGAACCAACCAACCATCCCTTTTTGAAGCCTTTTTTACTTTTTTATTGATTTTGTACGTGTTTTTGTTTTCATGTGAAATATTATAGTTGTCACTCAGCCCTATCCTGGTCTTCTTATTTTGGTTCCTTAAATCCCAGTTTTTTCATCATAAATCCTTTATCTAGAGCTATCGTTAACATAGTGGTCCTTCTCCCATTTTTTCAGTGAACTTCCTAATAAATTTATCATTTACATCCATTTTCAAAATTTTTGATTTATGGTGGAAACGCGGAATCAAAGGTAGGTTAGGGACAACAAGAAAAATATTGACAATATGGGTGATCCAGTGGATAATACATCCACAGATTCCCCAGCTCGCATTGCTCGATCTCATAGTTCCGAAAGTTCCAGGTCGTCTCGATCGTCGGCAACTATTCGTGCTCAAAAGCTTACCCTACAATTGGCACATCTCCGAAAAGTCGCAGTAGCCGAGGCCGCAGCAGCGGCAGCCCACAGCCGATGCCGAACGAAGAGCCGCGGACCTAGAACTTGAGGCGCAAATCGTAGCTTTGGGAGTAGAAGGTGGAAGGAGCAGAAGCTCTCGGTCGCGCTCTTCAATTCAAAACTTCAGTTGATAATAATAGAAATCCTTTACTCGACGTTACTTTGGAACCTACAATAGGATCGAATGCGGTTAATAAACGTCAGGATTATGGACGTAGCCAAATTTTTTATAATTGTGGTGAAGGAAGCTCCTCGAAGCCAAACCCATCCGTCACCACAGCTAATGTTCCTTTCGGCGTCGGCGGCCGATGTTCACCCTTACGGGACTTGATTACTTTGGTCCCGTCAACGTCACCATCGGCCGCCGACGTGAAAAGCGCTACGTGGCCCTCTACACCTGCCTAGTCATAAGAGAGGTTCACCTAGACAGCCTCTCTACTGACGCAGCGATGATGAGTTTGTGAAGACTTATCGCCCGCCGAGGACGTCCTAAGGAAATTTATTCCAACAACGGGACGGCTTTTGTCGGTTTGGATAGAGAATTAAGAAAGCTGTACGGTGAGCAAATGTCGACCTTCGCTGCTAACGAGGCTATCCAATGGAAATTTATCCCACCACCAGCAGCACCATTCATGGGCGGAGCCTGGGAGCGTATGGTGCGAAGCATTAAGACAGCCCTAAAGGTCACTTTAAAGGAAAAAGCTCCCAGTGACGAGACATTGGCGACGCTACTGCTGGAGGCAGAAGCCATAGTTAACAGCAGACCGCTTACACACGTATCTCCTGATTCCGATCATCCCGAGGCTTTAACTCCATTTCATTTTCTCATTGGCACTTCATCAGTAAGAAACCAACCATCCTTTTTTGAAGCCTTTTTTACTTTTTTATTGATTTTGTACGTGTTTTTGTTTTCCATGTCAAATATTATAGTTGTCACTCAGCCCTATCCTTGTCTTCTTATTTTGGTTTCCTAAATCCCAGTTTTTTCATCATAAATCCTTTATCTAGAGCTATCGTTAACAACGATACTGTTACATATTATAAAACAGCACTTAAAAAATTTACTCCAACCACTTGACAGGTTTATTTAATTCGAAATCATAGTGTGAAAGAAACAATTAAAAGGTTTCCTAATAAATAGCATATTGTAAATTTATGAGTCTGAAACAGCCAGTATCAAGTTAAAGTATTAAATATGAAATGAATTCTTTCTGTAATGGATTCTCACATAAAGTTGTTTTAACCTAAATGTAACTAATAACAGCTAATGGAAGACACCACCAGACTTTCACCGTAAACTTTCAACAAAGCTTTCTTTGTATGAAAGTTTACTATTTGCATGTCGACTTAAGTCTCACTAAAAGCAATCGTCGGCTCGAAGTCACAAGCACATGTTAACACAATGTGATTATTTTCATAATGTTTGAAAGCAAGTCTTTTACGATATTATCAGAGAATAAATATATCTAGTATAAATTACGTAAATATTAAGATGTTGCTTAAATATTGACTTAATAAAAGTGCCTACGGCGTTCTTCTATTCATCGGCGGGTTGTTTCCGCAACATTATAGGCTTTGTTACAATGGAATAGTGGAAGATTTGGTTATACCACCACAGTTTCCTTAAGAAGATTTGTACTCTTTTGATGTCTTTAAAGATCTCCAGAAGCGTCTGCGAACTACCCAGATTTGCATCTGTTGTCTTGCAATATCTCTGAAGTGTAGCAGAACGTGGGCAGTCGTCTTTGATTCCCCTCGACAGGCAATGCAAAGAGTTTTTTGAAATATGTACCAAGATAAGATACTTACGCTAGCATATCCATTTTTTCATTCTTATCGTTTTTATTTCAATATGCATAAAGGATAACAGGCAATTTATCAAGCGCCAATTTATTGCTCCAACAT